AACATCACAGACATGAGTGTCTGTTGCTCCTACACTCCCAATCTTGCTCACAAATTCACGCAAATTATACAAAACATCTGCATAATCTTTCTTGCAGTTAAATTTACCATTGGCACAATCATCCCATTCAACATACATGCTTTCAACGCCGAATCAAATTGCAGACTCGGAGGGTTGTTGTTGCGAATAGCACGCTGCCTCACAACACCGAAGAGATTCTCAAGTAAATCTTGAGCTGAGACGTCGAGTTGCCAACGATGTCACTCTCAAGTTTCCGAGCATTCTCCATACTGAGGAAACAGCGTCGATATTTCGACACCATGCCTCCTTCACCTTGGTGCCAGCAAGACTTACTATCTGCCTCAACAAACTGCCATGAATCCAGATTCCTTTTCATACTTTGCCAAAATTCTAAATGCTGAGATGTGTTAATCAGTAGTCTTCTATAAAAGTGAGTGTCACCCAACTTCAAACCGTTAAAAGAATCAAAGAGACAGTTTTTAACTCTTTTTGACGTAAATAAATAAATATTAGGAGGAGCTATCTGGTTGGCAGCAGGGCAGCATCTTCAACGTTACTATAGCAACGTCATGCAGGTCGCCAGACTTTTATTTGGGGGACGAGAATGCAATTAAATTCTTTTTATTATTTCGTATCAGACAAAAGTGTACGTTGGATAATTATGTCTCTCTTTGCTTTTCAAATAAAAGAAGAATCTGGTGACAATAAAGAATATATTACATTCGAATCAATTGTAAGTGTTAGTTCTACAACGAACATAGACATTCTGATAAGATAAAATTCATAGATTGTATGGTTATGTGAAAAATATAAATTTAAATTTACCAGGATTTCTTATGAAGATAATTTCGTGTCTCACAACAGCAATCACTATAACCTTCACAGACTTGTTGAATATGTAGGCTATGTCATTGTAATTAATGTATATATAAGTGAAATCAAGAAAACAAAAATATTAGTGTATATATGTGATTAATTAGTTTTTAATTTTACAACCATATTTCTGATACATGCACTCGATAACATTGTCATTTAGACATATGTCAATGTATCTTTTTGCTACAGTTGCTTTCTTTTACATGCTATGTAACAATCATAAAATGTAATGAAATTGGAAAAAAAAAAAAAAAAGTTTTCATGAGTAAACTTACCCTTTGTAAAAAGAATAGAGAATACATATGATACATATCTAATTATGTGTATGTATGTATACATCTGTCTGTTACAAATGTCTACTTACGTGCCATATGATGGTTTGTATTTCTTTCTTTTCAGATCAAAGTAGAACCATGTGACAATATAGAAGACACTACACTTCTACCTATTGTGAGTCAGTCAACAATAATTGAAACTTAACATATTCTGATAAGACTACAATTCCCAGAGTTAGTGGTTGTGCGAAAGGGTGGGCTTTAAATTTACTAGGAAATTTTTAGATTATTATATGCTTTGCAACAGTAATTGCTAAAAGTGTCACAATCTTATTGAAGTTGTAAGGATGGTGTGTAATGTAGATTTAAGGGAACATTACAGGAATAGTAAGTAGTACTAATACATTTAATAGAATATTGCCAAAATAGTACAAGTGTACCCTATGTCTATATCTATGTATGTTACATTACCTTTAGTTTACTCAAATATTTAACTAGCATTCAACTTCTTTGTATATCGTGCAACATTCCTTCAACATCCAGCCTCTTTGATCTGACTAATTTCTCAACATCTACTCTTCAACTTCTTGATTCTATACCTCATCCGCAGTTCTTGCCTTCCTTCTCTGGCATTCTTCCCCAGGATAGACTTATTGCCCCTCCGCAGAGTTGGGAGTATTGAAAATAAAAAATTGAATTTAAAATACGTATTTTTGATGCTTTTGTTATTTGTATTTTGTATCAAAAATACATATTTAAACATGTATTTTGTATGTGTATCAAAAATACTTTGATGGTATTTTGTATTTTCAAAAAACTAAAATACTTTTTATTGATCGTCTGTTGAAAATTTGAATTTAAATATACGAACAATACAAACATTGATTATATGAATTTTGATATTTTGAAGCAATTTTTAATTCCCTTGTTGCAGTATAAATATAAGTTTTTGATATCTCTAAATTTTGGTGAATAGAGAAAATTAGTTCCGGGAACACTTGAAGTAATTGATTAATGGGTTTTGGAGACTATTTTACAGACGTCACATTATCATTAGCACGTGACTGGAAGGTGATGTGCACACATGGTTAAAAGCTTGTACTTGCTTGGTGTAAAGAGCTAATCTTACATATGAGTGTGGAAATCTATAAATCATCAAAATCTGTTATTCTAGGTGGACATAATTCACTGTATCGTAGAGTTACATTCTACAATATGAACACATATTTTAAGACAAGCTAAAAACAATAAGCACTAATTTATAAATTTTTAAATGCACACAATGGTGTATTTAAAATTTACATATATTATTATGCATACTACAAATTAAATAAATTACATAGACTATTAATTTCACAGGTCATTCTTTTTACTAAGGAACTGATCATTGCTTTACACATTTTGAAGATTTGCTCTTGGTGTATGAGTGGATTAGAGAACTATAAAAGTGAAGTGGTACAGAAGTTCAAATTCACATGGAAGGAAATGAAAAGTTCTGAGATAGTGATAACTAATGCCAACAAGCCTAACATCTGGTTTCTTCAATACACAGCAAAAAAGAAACTATTATATAAAATTTGATGATCTTGTTACAAAACTCGATGATAATGGAATGAGATCTATCAACTACCAAAAGAAGTGTTAGTGATACAATTTATTTGAAAAAAACCAGTTGCATTGAAGGGCAATACGTCCATTTGTATACAATTGTAATCTACAAGCAAGTTTTGAGAATTAATTGTGAAACTGGATCACTGTTGGTTGTATTTTGTATTTTAAAATACCATATTGTCTAAAATACTTTTATGGAAGTATTTTGTATTTGGTATCCAAAATACTTTCAACAAATTTGAAATATTTTTTTCAGGTGTTTTGCCCAAATCTGCCCCTTCTGTCTTCTAAATAATGTATCATCCATCTTAACTCTTTGCCTGCCTGATCCAGACTGCCTTAAGCTTTTACATAACATTATAGCTCTCACAATTATACCCTTCTGCTTTCACACTATTTAAATTCGCAAATCCATCTTGATTTCCCTGAATCTTTTTCTCTAACTCTTAAGCCAATATCTGTTTTCCAACATTTCATTCTCGAGTCTAAACCTTGCTGTACCTTTTGCATTTGTTTTATTCCTTGGGCAGTCTGACATTTCTGTTCAAACTTCAATTTTATATTGCAAAGTTTTTTCATTTGCGTTCTCCCATGTAACGCTTCATCCCATTCTTTATCCTCTCCTATTATCATGTTCATAAGAATACGTTATTTAGTCTTGGAACTTATAATCCTGTGTCTTCTTTCCCTCTGTGAAACAATACTCTCTCAAAATGTGACCACTTAACTCGATCATTTTGCATTTTCTTATCCTCTGTTGTACCCTTCTGTTTTCTCCTTCTCTGAAAATCTGGCTTTGCTCTCCTTTGTATTCAATTCTGAACTTTGATTATCTGGAAATATTTCTGATATAATGTTATTTATCCCCTTCTGCAGCTGTGCTAGAAACACCAATTCCTCTGCAGAGTCAATTTTTCTAATCCCTACCCCCCTCCCCAGAGTGCTCTTATTGTCCACCCCTAATGCGTGGATACTGAATAATAGCAGATTTAGGACACTGTTTGGTCTGAGCCTTTTTCTACCCAGAATTCTCTGTACTGTTTACCTTCACTCTAAAACGATTACAGTACACTGCAGCTTCGTCATACATTTGAAGATTATGTATGACTTGGCAGAATTTGGTCTATTTTCATTGTCTTTTGATACACATTTTGCCAGCATATTTTTCTCTTATTAGAAATGTGGATAAGATTTTCTCATGTGTGAAACTTCATTCAGGTGTACTCATTGAATGAATAACACCAAATATACTTTTTATTTTATAAAAAAATCATCCATTTTTATAAAAACCCATCCTTTTGAGATTCCCATTCCACTAGGGCTTTTAATTTCAAGAACCATTCCTTAAGGGAAAGTTACTGGAGTCTCTTCTTTAAAAGCAGATCCATCTTTTAAACATGAACACATTTTATCTTTTCGACTTATAAATAATTATTTAAATATAATACATTGAATTTGCAATCTTGGAACTGTCTTTTTGCTACTAAAAGAACTGTGACTGAATTTTCTTTGATTGTTCATCCTGCTTGCCAATCCTTTCTAGGAATGTGACGAGGTGCGGCATAATGAAACATAAACAGTAGTTCTTTCTAGCTAGGTGTTCTGTCAAACCTTCTTTTATCCTCCCATGTACCACTTAAGTCTATCGAGTTTGAGGTTCCACTCACATTATGCATAGCATCAATTGAGAACTGGTAGTGACAAAATAGAAAAATGTAGCATGTTAAAGTTGGTCTAATTTATTGTATTAATATTATGCTAAAATTATGTTGTGCGATCGAAATGGGTGGAGTGAAGTATGATTACAAAAATATTTGCCTCTATCGTTTTTAGGTAAAACAAGATCCTGATGATGAAGCAGAGGTACAAATTTGGAATTTCAGAGTGAGTTCTTTATTCTCCTTACAGCTACAGTCAGGTAATGTTGTTTTCAGGCATGAAGTTTACAGTTGCAGTCAATAAACCTTGTTTTCAGACGTGCAGAAATTAAGTGTATTGTATGTATATTACCAAAAAAAGAGAGTTGTAGGTTAAAAGAATTTTCGCTTTTTTTGAATGTGTAAGTTAATCTTGTTCACAATAATGTTAACATTTTCCCACATTCATTCATCCAGGTGAAAGTGCTTTACAACTGAAGTCATTACAAATTTTGTGCAAGTTTTATAAATAAGTAATATACTTATATTAAAATGTATGATAGGCTATGTCATTGTAATTAATGTATATATAAGTGAAATCAAAAAAACAAAAATATTATGTATATATGTGATTAATTAATTTTTAATTTTACAACTATATTTCTGATACATGCACTCGATAACATTGTCATTTAGACATATGTCAATGTAATCTTTTTGCTACAGTTGCTTTCTTTTACATGCTATGTAACATCATAAAATGTAATGAAATTGGAAAAAAAAAAAAAAAAAAGTTTTCATGAGTAAACTTACCCTTTGTAAAAAGAATAAAGAATACATATGATACATATATAATTATGTGTTATGTATTGTTATACATCTGTCTGTACACAATGTCTACTTACGTGCCATATGATGGTTTGTATTTCTTTCTTTTCAGATCAAAGTAGAACCATGTGACAATATAGAAGACACTACATTCTACCTATTGTGAGTTAGTCAACAATAATTGAAAACTTAACGTATTCGATAAGACTACATTCCCAGAGTTAGTGGTTGTGTGAAAGGGTGGGCTTTAAATTTACTAGGATTTTTTAGATTATTATATGCTTTGCAACAGAATTGCTTAAAGTGTCACAATCTTATTTGAAGTTGTAAGGATGGTGTGTAATGTAGATTTAAGGGAACATTTACAGGAATAGTAAGTAGTACTAATACATTTAATAGAATATTGCCAAAATAGTACAAGTGTACCCTATGTCTATATCTATGTATGTTACATTACCTTTAGTTTACTCAAATATTTAACTAGCAAGTCCACTTCTTTGTATATCGTGCCAACATTCCTTCAACACAAAGCCTCTTTGATCTGACTAATTTCTCAACATCTACTCTTCAACTTCTTGATTCTATACTCATCCGCAGTTCTTGCCTTCCTTCTCTGGCATTCTTCCCCAGGATAGACTTATTGCCCCTCCACAGAGTTGGGAGTATTGAAAATAAAAAAATTGAATTTTAAATATATATTTTTGGATGCTTTTGTTATTTTATTTTGTATCAAAAATACATTTATTTAAACATGTATTTTGTATGTGTATCAAAAATACTTTGATGTATTTTGTATTTTCAAAAAACTAAAATACTTTTTATTGATCGTCTGTTGAAAATTTGAATTTAAATATACGAACAATACAAACATTGATTATATGAATTTTGATATTTTGAAGCAATTTTTAATTCCTTGTTGCAGTATAAATATAAGTTTTTGATATCTCTAAATTTTGGTGAATAGAGAAAATTAGTTCCGGGAACACTTGAAGTAATTGATTAATGGGTTTTGGAGACTATTTTACAGACGTCACATTATCATTAGCACGTGACTGGAAGGTGATGTGCACACATGGTTAAAAGCTTGTACTTGCTTGGTGTAAAGAGCTAATCTTACATATGAGTGTGGAAATCTATAAATCATCAAAATCTGTTATTCTAGGTGGACATAATTCACTGTATCGTAGAGTTACATTCTACAATATGAACACATATTTTAAGACAAGCTAAAAACAATAAGCACTAATTTATAAATTTTTAAATGCACACAATGGTGTATTTAAAATTTACATATATTATTATGCATACTACAAATTAAATAAATTACATAGACTATTAATTTCACAGGTCATTCTTTTTACTAAGGAACTGATCATTGCTTTACACATTTTGAAGATTTGCTCTTGGTGTATGAGTGGATTAGAGAACTATAAAAGTGAAGTGGTACAGAAGTTCAAATTCACATGGAAGGAAATGAAAAGTTCTGAGCATAGTGATAACTAATGCCAACAAGCCTAACATCTGGTTTCTTCAATACACAGCAAAAAAGAAACTATTATATAAAATTTGATGATCTTGTTACAAAACTCGATGATAATGGAATGAGATCTATCAACTACCAAAAGAAGTGTTAGTGATACAATATTTGAAAAACCAGTTGCATTTGAAGGGCAATACGTCCATTTGTATACAATTGTAATCTACAAGCAAGTTTTGAGAATTAATGTGAAACTGGATCACTGTTGGTTGTATTTGTATTTCAAAAGTATTTTAAAATACCATTTTGTCTAAAATACTTTTATCGAAGTATTTTGTATTTGGTATCCAAAATACTTTCAACAAATTTGAAATATTTTTTTCAGGTGTTTTGCCCAAATCTGCCCCTTCTGTCTTCTAAATAATGTATCATCCAACTAAACTCTTTGCCTGCCTGATCCAGACTGCCTAAGGCTTTTACATAACATTATAGCTCTCACAATTATACCCTTCTGCTTTCACACTATTTAAATTCGCAAATCCATCTTGATTTCCCTGAATCTTTTTCTCTAACTCTTTAGCCAATATCTGTTTTCCAACATTTCATTCTCAAGTCTAAACCTTGCTGTACCTTTGCCTTTGTTTTATTCCTTGGCAGTCTGACATTCCTGTTCAAACTTCAATTTATATTTGCAAAATTTTTTATTTGCGTTCTCCCATGTAACGCTTCATCCCATTCTTTATCCTCTCCTATTATCATGTTCATAAGAATACGTTATTTAGTCTTGAAACTTTATAATCCTGTGCTTCTTTCCCTCTGTGAAACAATACTCTCTCAAAATGTGACCACTTAACTCGATCATTTGCATTTTCGTATCCTCTGTTGTACCCTTCTGTTTTCTCCTTCTCTGAAAATCTCGCTTTGCTCTCCTTTGTATTCAATTCTGAACTTTGATTATCTGGAAATATTTCTGATTAATGTTATTTATCCCCTTCTGCAGCTGTGCTAGAAACACCAATTCCTCTGCCAGAGTCAATTTTTCTAATCCCTCCCCCCTCCCCAGAGTGCTTTTATTGTCATATTGTCCACCCCTAATGCGTGGATACTGAATAATAGCAGATTTAGGACACTGTGTGGTCTGAGCCTTTTTTCTACCCAGAATTCTATGTACTGTTTACCTTCACTCTAAAATGATTACAGTACACTGCAGCTTCGTCATACATTTGAAGATTATGTATGACTTGGCAGAATTTGGTCTATTTTCATTGTCTTTTTGACACATTTTGCCAGCATATTTTTCTCTTATTAGAATGTGGATAAGATTTTCTCATGTGTGAAACTTCATTCAGGTGTACTCATGAATGAATAACACCAAATATACTTTTTTATTTTATAAAAAACAAATCATTCATTTTTTTAAAAACCCATCCTTTTTAAATTCCCATTCCACTAGGGCTTTTAATTCAAGAACCATTCCTTAAGGGAAAGTTACTGGAGTCTCTTCTTAAAAGCAGATCCATCTTTTAAACATGAACACATTTTATCTTTTCGACTTATAAATAATTATTTAAATATAATACATTGAATTTGCAATCTTGGAACTGTCTTTTTGCTTACTAAAAGAACTGTGACTGATTTTCTTGATTGTTCATCCTGCTTGCCAATCCTTTCTAGAATGTGACGAGGTGCGGCATAATGAAACATAACAGTAGTTTTTCTAGCTAGGTGTTCTGTCAAACCTCCTTTTATCCCCCAGTACCACTTAAGTCTATCGAGTTTGAGGTTCCACTCACATTATGCATAGCATCAATTGAAGAACTTGGAAGCTGACCAAAAATAGAAAAATGTAGCATGTTAAAGTTGGTTCTAATTTATTTATAACATTATGCTAAAATTATGTTGTGCGATCGCAATGGGTGGAGTGAAGTATGATTACAAAAATATTTGCCTCTTCGTTTTTAGGTAAAACAAGATCCTGATGATGAAGCAGAGGTACAAATTTGGAATTTCAGAGTGAGTTCTTTATTCTCCTTACAGCTTACAGTCAGGTAATGTTGTTTTCAAGGCATGAAGTTTACAGTTTGCAGTCAATAAACCTTGTTTTCAGGACGTGCAGAAATTAAGTGTATTGTATGTATATTACCAAAAAAGAGTTGTAGGTTAAAAGAATTTTTGCTTTTTTTGAATGTGTAAGGTAATCTTGTTCACAAATTGTTAACATTTTCCCACATTCATTCATCCAGGTGAAAGTGCTTACAACTGAAGTCATTACAAATTTTGTGCAAGTTTTATAAATAAGTAATATACTTATATTAAAATGTACTTCTTTAATATAATTGAGATTAATATTAATATGTGTACGGGTCTCTGTTACATTAAATTTAGGACACATTGAAAGAAGAGTGGGGTGTCCCTGAAATTTTTAGTTACAGGCAATGCAACATTTTCCTGATTGTTAAAATCATGGTGTTAAATCATGGATTTGTTAAATCGCGATGTTCATACAGATCCAAAAACATTACGTTGTATCACATCCACTTGAATTCAATAATTTACCAAATCAATTAACCGTAGAGTTGGCAACCATACAGTTGCTTTAACCAAGCATACTGACATCAGCTCTGTTACCTGTAACTGGTTTCATTTATTGAAATATCATCACTTTTGAAATAGATTGTTTGCCTATTTACTAATTTATTGGGGAATATTAAATACTCCACATTTATGTATTAGTTCTTTTTTATTATCTATCACTATTAATTATCCGTTTTAAATTAAAAACGTTCCCTGTTTGGGCGAACATATTTAGGTTGGAAGTAAGACATTAGATTCATAGACATAGATGGACGTAAGAGAAAATATCTGGTTTAGTGAGGGGAAAAAAATTAACAGGGTTCCATCATAAAAGTCATTAATTCCACTGAAATGAACTTTGCATTTAATCAGGGAAAAGGGGAGACAATTGAAAATGACAATCCGAATCTGTATTAATTTG